GAGGCAGAGGGGTCTGCCAGGAAGGCCTTCACCTGAAAAAGGGAGGGGGAAATTGTAAACCGAAAGGAAACCAACACTTTGAAGGACTGAAACTTTAGTCGTTAAGGCAACACTTGCAGCTTGCCAGAGTCATGGAATGGCAGGTTGGAAGGGAGCTCAAGGATCATCTGGTCCAACTTTTCTAGGCAGAAGCTGAACACATTTACCACTGCCACACACTTCAGCTACACTCAACTCTAACAGCCCCAGGGAGGAGCCCAGGGCCCTCAGCTTCCTCCTGCCATTCACACATGGAAGCATCCACCCCTTCTCAGGGCAGGTCCCGCACATGCAGGTGGGTCTGAGCCCTTTCAACCCAGGTGACATGCAAGGTGTTCTGTGGAAGTGCTGAGCGCCCCTGCTGGGCAGCAGACCCTCAGCCCTCACCTTTTCAGCCAGGGGGAAGGTGTAGTCGGTCTCCACAGCCACCGCCAGGACCCGCTTGTACCCGTTGATGATGGAGTGGGGCACAGAGGCCACAGTTGGGTACCCAATCTGCAGACACACGCTGGCCACGTTTCGGACACCCTGTGGGGAGAGAGACTCGTGGGTCTGTGCTCTGAGGAACAACCTGGACTAGAAACCACAGCAGGTGATGGCACCTTCTGCTCAGCCAACATGAGGGACATCGTGCAAGCATCACAGCTCCAGGGAAATGAGGATTTAAACAACTTCCAACACTTTCCTAAGTAGTTTTCGATCAAAAAGCTTTCAGTAGGTAATGCCTGACAGTTTCTGCAGGGCACTGGGGAGAACTCCTGGCTGTGCAGGACCCAGTGGAGAACACCACAGGTGGTTCTTCACTCTGGGACAGTGCTGGAGCTGCCTCAGCCACCACGGGCATGGCTGCCACAAAGGCAGAGGGGTCTGCCAGGAAGGCCTTCACCTGAAAAAGGGAGGGGGAAATTGTAAACCGAAAGGAAACCAACACTTTGAAGGACTGAAACTTTAGTCGTTAAGGCAACACTTGCAGCTTGCCAGAGTCATGGAATGGCAGGTTGGAAGGGAGCTCAAGGATCATCTGGTCCAACTTTTCTAGGCAGAAGCTGAACACATTTACCACTGCCACACACTTCAGCTACACTCAACTCTAACAGCCCCAGGGAGGAGCCCAGGGCCCTCAGCTTCCTCCTGCCATTCACACATGGAAGCATCCACCCCTTCTCAGGGCAGGTCCCGCACATGCAGGTGGGTCTGAGCCCTTTCAACCCAGGTGACATGCAAGGTGTTCTGTGGAAGTGCTGAGCGCCCCTGCTGGGCAGCAGACCCTCAGCCCTCACCTTTTCAGCCAGGGGGAAGGTGTAGTCGGTCTCCACAGCCACCGCCAGGACCCGCTTGTACCCGTTGATGATGGAGTGGGGCACAGAGGCCACAGTTGGGTACCCAATCTGCAGACACACGCTGGCCACGTTTCGGACACCCTGTGGGGAGAGAGACTCGTGGGTCTGTGCTCTGAGGAACAACCTGGACTAGAAACCACAGCAGGTGATGGCACCTTCTGCTCAGCCAACATGAGGGACATCGTGCAAGCATCACAGCTCCAGGGAAATGAGGATTTAAACAACTTCCAACACTTTCCTAAGTAGTTTTCGATCAAAAAGCTTTCAGTAGGTAATGCCTGACAGTTTCTGCAGGGCACTGGGGAGAACTCCTGGCTGTGCAGGACCCAGTGGAGAACACCACAGGTGGTTCTTCACTCTGGGACAGTGCTGGCTGCCACAGCACCGAGGTGGAACAGAACAGAGCTGGGGCACTCACCTCCAGGAAGCGCTTGTGCAAGGTCTCCTCAGTGATGTCCAGCACTTCAGGATTGTAAATGCTGCCATTGTCAAAGACTTGCTGGATCACCAGCCCGAAGGAGAAGGGGGAGATGTTCAGCATGTTCAGCAGTTTTTCCCACTTTGTCTCCAGTCTTGATGAGCTGCACGTCGCTCTGAGGAAGTAAGGGGGAAAGGAGTGAACCCCACAGGAGGAGCCCAGGACCCACAAAGAAATTCAGACACAGTGATGCAACAGAGCACAGATACAGATTTCCAGTGGCAAGAGATGGAACTGAAGAAACCAAAGAGCACACAGGAACAGGCTCCAAGTTCAGCTCCACAATTTGAGGACACTCTGATCCACTGCTGATAAAAGAGTATTTCAGCAGAGCTTGGATATTCACATCTCTCTCAACTGCCACAATTGGGGCCCCCCAGTCAAGGAAGAGCTCCAACAACAGCAGCACACTGCACACTAACCAGAATTTCAATGGTCCCTCTGGAAATCTTCGTGGTGATGCCCAAGGCCTGGAAAAATGAGGTCTTCTCAGGTCCAAGACCAGTGTTTTGGGCCGGCACAGTCACATCACAAGGAGCAATAGCACCAGCACGAGCAGCTGCTGGTACCTGGGGAGAGAGTAAAGCAGAAGCTGAAGGGATGCTCACCCCTCACATCTGGTGAGGAGGCATCAGCTCCCTCCTGAAGTGTTTCTCCAGGATGGACAAAAGCCCAGGAACACACAAATGAGACAGAAGTTAAACTTGAGCAGTTGGCTAAGGCTGCAGGAGCCTAGTTCCCAACCCTTCAGGACTCCTAATCATGAAGTATCCCCCACAAAAGCCCAGTTATATTTTTAATTCCCTATCTGCCAGCCCAAAGACACGGGATGGGCTGATCTCCCCTACCTTGTTAGCCAGCAGCATGTCCCGGATCTCAGTCAGATCCTCCTTGGTGAAAACAAAGCCCACGTTCCCACGGATGTGAGGCAGCAGCCTGAAGGAAAAGACGAAGACCTTCACTTCTGTTTCTCAAATTATGTCTGCTCCTCCCAGACAAGAGGATCCAGGAGAACACTCACTTTTCCAAGGCAGGGTTATTCTCCAGGTGACCACGAATGGCTTTGCGCATCATGGTGTTCTTGCCCATCAGCACCACAGCCTTCCCACGCAGGGACATGCGGATCTGCTGCATCTGCTTGGACCCCACATTGTCTGCTCCCACAATGAAACATTTTGGGTAATCATCCAGGAGTTGCTATATCAAGAAAAAGACTGGTAACTACACAAAGAAATCTGGACCACTGCACAGAACAGAACTAAAGCCTCGATATGCCAAAACCTACAAACAAAATCCTAAGTCTGACAGTGCTCAGCTCTAGCTGACACTGGGTGCACCTCAGAGCTGCCCCTTTCACTCGAAAAGCCTGGTTACATTTCTTAACAAGTTATCTCTCTAACTGCCACACAAAATCCTCACAGTAGCCTTAAAAACGGCCTGATCTGGACTGTTTTAACCTCTTCCTATTGTCATATAATCACTCCTCAGCCACACAACCTATAGCACATCATCTCTTTTTCTGAAAAAGCCAACCCGCAGCCATGCCAGGCCGATTCCCGCCGCCCCAGGGCCGCTCCCCGTGGGCCAGGAACGCCCCTGGAGCCCAAGCGGCTGCTGCGCCCCTCTAGGGCCGGGCCTCGGGGGTGGGCCTCAGCCCTCCGAGCCTCGCCGACACTCACGATGATTTTCAGAAAATAGTTGGACTTCCACGTAGCCCTGTCTTCCCTGGGCATCGCTGCGGTGCTCCAAGGATCGCCCGGTGGGTTTAAAGACGAGCTGGGACCTGCCAGAAGAAACGCGACTCAGGCGGGGCCGCGCCCTTCCCTGCCCCGAGGCTCCGCCCTCCACGCCCGCCGGCAACG